TTGCTTCGAAAAAATTCAATTCCTCTACAACCGAGCTTCGACTTCTCTAGAGAAATGAAAATCAGAAGTATGTCGAAGAGATTGTGACCTTATTCATTGATTGTGGCTCGAAATCGAGGGTTAACGGTGATTATAAGTTTACCTTCAAAATCAGATCATAGAAGTTCAATTTTTTGCTTCAAAAAAATCCAATTCATCCACAACCTGCTTCAACTTCTTTAGAGCAATGAAAATCAGAAGTATGTCAACGGGATTGTGACCTTATTCATTGATTGTGGCTCAACGTCGAGGATTAACAGTGAAGTTTTGTGATTTTGGAGAGTTTTCAATGAGTTGGGATTTGTAGAGAGAGAAAATCGCGTTTGGTTGTGAGAGTAGAGTGAGAAATATCTTTTAAATATAGTATAGTAACTGATTTGTATGAGATAATTTAGTAATTTATATTTAATCCAAATTTCGTGTATGATATATTATAATTATATATTTAATATTTTAATTTATCACCTGATTTATGAAAGTTTGTAAGGAGTTTATCAATTTTGAAATGTGATTCTTTTAGTTTAATAGTTATGTAGCGTTCCTAATAATTTCTTTCGTTGATAGGCTATGAAGTGAATTTATGATATTAATGTCTAAGCCCATCAGTACATTTTTTATTTAGTTAATAAAAACAAAAACTAAATACTAATTATATCATATAAAATTTAACAATCGTGGTGGGTTCAAGGCATGGACCTCATTCAACGTTTCCACTTTGCGAACCTGATTACTGGATGCCCTCTCCAATCGTACTAGGTCTTCTCAGGGATTGGGAACTTCCTGTTCGGTTTCCACCGCTAATGTGGATCATTTCGTCATAAATCATCATTTGGGACCGTCCGTCTTGCTTCATTTGAAGTGTTGTAAACGAAAATGCAACATTGAACAATAAATCATGGCCTTAGTTAATTTCAATAATGATATTGAATTAAATTGGTCATAAAGTATTTTGTAACTCATTTAGTCATTACAATTTAATAATATTATACAACTAATCATTATGTTATGATTAATGCATTGTCTAGCATAGTAGGGGCGTCTTCGGAAGAGATTAAAATCGGATTAAAATTGAAAAATTAGCAGTTATTGTTGACTTTTATTATACGAGTGAAACCCAATAACAACTATATTTTCAATTTTAATAGAATTTTAATCACTCCCAAATATGCTCTAGGTATTAAACCTTCGTGTGGACTAACGCCTGTTAAAAAGATCAATTTCTTTGAGCTAATATCGTATTTTGGCTCATGCACATATTTCATAATTTGAGTTATGGTTAAAGGGGCTGATTTCAATTTAGACTTTCAAATATTTTTAGAGAATTTTTTTAAGTAAATGACTTTTGTAGATTTCAATGAACTATTATTGACTTTTACAATGAAAATCTTCATAGAATTTTTTTTAAAGGCTTTTATAGAAATTATTTGACGTTTACATACTTCCATTTTAAAAGGAAAATCTTGTATATAGCTTATTGACTATTGCTCATCTCTTTTTGAAAAGAGTTGTGCTACAAGTACACGAATTTTTTTACAGTAGGGGTGTGGTGTGTTTACAAGGAAGACACAGCATTGGAGGTGATGTGAATTTTCATTCTTATTTTTCAAACATGTGAGGCCCGTCAGTGTCTCTCACATGGCAGGCCCCTGTGAATTGCCTCTTGTACTTGAGGCAATTCTCTTTTGAAAACTACTTACACGATCAAATGATCCACAACATGCAATATCAAAAATATATTCTCGCGACAATAAGAATATTTTTTAAAAGGATATAAAAATATAAGACACATAAACTAGAAAATAAACAACAAAAAATACATTTCAATACTATTTGATGAAAAAAAGAATTCTTTAATGTACAATATTATCAATATGTTCAAATCTGTAAAAAGTCATTAAACAAGTAACAAATGTCTAAAAATTTAATTACAAATTAATTAATTTTTTAAAAAATATTGACGAAAAATAAAGAAACCCCACGAAAAAGAAGAAAGTGAAATATTTTATTAACTATTTTTATTTATAAATTGATCTTTCGTGTAAAAAAATGAGAAAATGATGAAAACGAAAAGAAAAATAGAAACGTGAATACTACAGAGAGAATGATAATAAAAAAATGTTAAAGACGGTAAAATATTGATTTTTTGTATCAAAACTCAAGGATTCAAAGAAAGAGAGAGGACATAGAAAAATGAAGGAAGAGATAAATATTATAGATGTAAAAATCTTTCAAAATCTCGAGAGTGAGATTTTGTAATTTTTTTTTTCTCAAAAGTCAGTATCTATAGAATTTTATGAAAGTCGTTGAAATTTTGAATAACCTACTTTTTAAATATCAAAACTGTTTAAAAATCTTAATTGAATACATCATACGTCACCATTGTTTCATATCCAATATTTCAAAAATACATTTTTTTCTCTTATTTTCGATCGGATATTTTTCAATAAAATATTATTACATACAAATCTAAAACTTTTCATTATTTTTTAATCACACACTCTCCATAAAATCACTATTCCAAAATACATTTTTAAAAAAAAATGGGACTCTAACATAACGAGTCAATGGATTTAAAGTGGATGCCATTAAATAAATAAGTATCCAATTTATGCCCATATCTAGGTTTTACTTTTTAAAATTTATTTCTAATTACACATTTCATAATATCCACGATTTTCTAACTTTTATTATTTTTTTTTAAAATTGATTTTTAGTTAAAAAGCAAAAAGGGGGCTATATTGTAACAATATTAAGCCTCTCTTACGTGGGATTAAAATTAAGATTTTTATTTAAATTAAAGTTAACAATTAATTTTAATTACATATTTTCCCATGTTTGATGACCATTATTTTGAAAGAATGATTTTTTAAATAATGATTTTTTGGAAAAAGTGTAGTTGAAAAGTAAAAAAAAAAAATTGAGCTTATGTACGAAATATTTTATTATGTGAATATGTGGTAGAAGTGAGTATGAGAATCAAAGAGTTTTGTTTTAAAGATAATCAAACAGTGGCTTTATTTGACAAATAACTTTTTAATTACACGTCTCATCAATATATACTAAAATCAATTAAAAATCTAATTTTATACCAATCAAACCAGCTCTACTTGACAAAAATAAATTTGAAATTTCACTTTAAAATTAAGGAAAAATTGCAGTAACGGTTCCTAACATTTTTAATTTTTGCAAACTTTACTCTAATCTTCAATTCGTGCCACTAGAGATTTTAAACCTTTGAAAAATTAGCAGTTGAAGTCCAAATGTATAAAAACATCAATTTGACCATTAGTTGGCCAGAAAATTGATTTTATCTAAATACAAAGGGCAAAATGGTGAGCTTACAAAATTAACCTAAAATAATGACAAGAAAAAGAAAAGAAATAAAAAGCGCTACTATTTATCTCTTTACAAACCCCATCCCTTTTCCCACCGTCACTGAAAATCGCTACCACCTGCGGACTTCCCCTCCTCTGGCTCCATTCTTCGTCACGGGTCCGAATAACATGAGGTGGCTAATTCATTTGAACGACTCATTACAAGATCCATTCAAGAATTTGTAGAACTGGACTAAGGTGACCTTCGCTAACCCTAGCCATTGATTCGCCTCCTACTTTCAAGGTGCTATCTGCAACAAAGGTTGCATCTACAAGTTATCACTCTCCAAATGGCCCTCAAAGGCACAATCTCACCTTATATGTCGAGTAGCACAAATTTACAGGCTCTGGACCTCTTGCCCAACGCATTGATCAGTCTTCTTCCATCGGAATTTTAGTATTTGGTCAATTTGGGGGTTCTAAATGTCCCAATCAAACCATCTATATGGCCCAACAACAACTAGAAGAAAATGACTATTGATTGTTCCTAAACCAAACCTGGTTTCATCACCATTGCTAAATTATTCATATTGGCTTCACTCCAACTACTTCAGGACTTGTGATTTATTGTGGATAACATATATTTGTGCTAACACCAATTTTTCATTCTTGATTTTAATTTTGTTCATTATTTGGATGGTCAGTAAGTTGTGAAAATCATAGAAATTGGGGGAAGAAAAGTAAGTATTGAAGATATGCTTGTTTACACATGGAAATGGAAGCATGATGGTGGCGCAAGTCGTGGCGAGTGACGAATGCGGACGATCGTAGATAGGGCGTGTTTTGGATTGGTTAGGGTGGGGGTGGGTGATGGTTGATTTTTTTTTATTTTTGGTTGGGGTGAGGGGTTGAGGAGCGAGATGAATGAACAATTTTTTTTTCAATTTTTTAAGGGATGAATGCAAAGTTACCATTTTATCCTTTTAATTTGGTCAGATTCTATTATTCTTAGTTAAATATCCATTTGGATCCCAACTACTAATTTTCAAAGATTTGAGATTTATACTGGCACAAACTGAAGATTAGAGTAAAGTCTGAAATAATTAAGCCCCTGTTTGTCTACCATTAATCCAAAAAATTGTTTGCTACAGTAAGATTCTCCACCACACATTCACCCAATAAAATATTCTACACACAAACTAATAAAATTACTTTCATTTTCAACTATGCATTCTCCAAAAAATACTATTTATTATACTAATTTTCTCTCAATAATAGGAGACAAACAAGCTCTAAAAAGATTATGGATTGCGACAATTTTCCCTTAAATTAACGTGCTTTTTGCAGCGAACTCCTTGAATATAACTGTTCTCAGGTCTGGCGTTCGAATCTTCGATTTATGTTTTCGTCAAATTTCAGCTTAAAACAAAACTCGAGAGAAAATCTGCCCTTTTTCTTCTTTCTCGAAGATTTCATTCAATCTCTTTCGGGGAAATTTCTCTTTCCTATTAGATCGCCTCTAAACGCTGGTCCTCCCCAACTCATCAGTACTCAATATTCTTGTGGGGATATAACAGGAGGGATTATATCAGAATCAATTTCAAAAATTGTGGGATAAAAAATTGTGTTTTTTTTGTGGGGTTTGCTATGGCCGATGGGTTGTCCGTGATTCCAGCATCGGTTATCCGTAACCTCTCAGATAAGCTCTACGAAAAGCGCAAAAATGCTGCTCTCGAGGTTTTATTTTATTCCTGCTTTTGTTTCGGGCTACAATTTTGCTTGATGTGATAATTTTCTGAATTTTTTATTGTACTTTATGTTTTTATTCATTTTTTGGGGTTGGTTGGATCTAGGTGGAAGGGATAATTAAGCAATTGGCCGCAGCTGGAGATCATGATAAAATTACTGCGGCGATCAATTTTTTGGCCAATGAATTTACTTATTCACCTCAGGCAAACCATCGCAAAGTAAGTTTTATCTTTCAAAGAAGATTTTTTCTAATTGATACGTGGTTGGGGATTTATTTATTTAATTTCGTAGTCTACGTGTTGAATTTTCCTGAAAGATCCATTTTTTGCCAAAAAATTCCAGGCTTTGGTGAAGCAAATACGTAATTCGTTTTATTTTATTATATACACGTCGCCTTTCTTTTGGTTTAGGGAGGGTTGATAGGATTGGCAGCAGCTACAGTGGCTTTGTCTTCTGAAGCATCACAACATCTTGAGGTATGAAAGCCTCATTAAGTTCAGGGATTACGACTTTTCTTCAATTGTGAACCTTTTTTTTTCTTTGGGGATAAAAATGTTTTTTTTTTCCCATGTGGACATCTATTAAAAAAATTCAAATGTAACCTTTGAGCATGTAAAATGCTTTCAGTGTCTCAAATTTTGTCCAAAATGAAGAAAAATGGCTAAATCTAACATATTATCTGACAATATATAGTCTTATTGAGTTTAGATTTGTACATATAGAGACTGTTTTTACCTGTTGAGTACAAGTATATTTAGTGAGTAAATGATTGAAAAGGGATGCTCGTACTGTAACTTGTTGATCATCAATTGTGCATTTCATGAAAAACTGATATTGACTATGACAAGTATGAAAATGTGATTTTTTTGATTTTATATCTTTCTTGGGATAATTACATTTCAATTTGTCATAACCTTGAAATGGGTACAACCTAATGGTACCTAATTAAACCTTTGTGAGTTGAAGTGTTTGCTGGCACAATGACTAGATTGACATTTTACAAGCCCCATCAACCAATTTGATTTGATTTCCAGGTGCACTAATGCAGAAAGAAATTTCTTGCCACATCCATGTCTTGTAAGTGAATAATTTAATAATATGAAACGAGGCATTAATTGCTTGATTAGGTTACTTAAAAAGTCATGCCATGGTGCATGGCATAATTATTTTGATATTTTAACAGGGATGTTATTTGTGATGTCATGATGGCAGATATTTTCTAATGATTTCTTTTATTTGTGCTTACAAGATTAAATTCATCTGATGTGTAAGTTAGAATTTAGAAAGAATTTCTTAAAACGACCCTTGATAATTACAACTTGAAAGAGTTGCAGGAATAGTACATGTCAAGTTTGAGTTGAACCTCTTACTAATCCATTAAATACTCGTTTGTTAACCTGTCTTGATGTCTTAAAGCTTTGTAGTATATGTTGTAGCATATTTGATAGGACCCATAACATCAATTTATTTTTTTCAAAGCATGTTTGGCATACAATCACAAGACTAGACAATACAGTTGACAAGATTTGAATTTTTTTTTCTTTGTATTGTCCAGTCATGTCTACCAAACGTGTATCTTATCATACTTTTTTTTTAACTTGTGACTTGAAAGATTGACATAAATGGTGGATCCTCTGTTGATGCTTGAGAAGTAGATACTGCTTCATTTTTTTTTTTTCAAAACTACATGAAGATGAGAATCTTGTCACTCAGAAGTGAGATTGGGTTAAGACGTGATGGTTGTTGGTTGTCTATGGATACAGGAGAGTGGGTGCTACTATAGAACACCATCGTGTATGGGAATTATAAGCCTCTATTCAAGTTTCTTGTTTATAGCCAATCTATGCAGTTTTGATTTTTCCCGGATTTATCATGTAAATTTTAAGGACAAAAATTGTTTATCTGATTAATTATCGGAGAAGAATGATTCCTCTGTGGAACTTGAACCTCCACATGTTATATGCTACCTCTGCATGAAAATTGTGCAGCAAGGAACTCATTGGTGAATGCATTATTGATCCCAAGTTTCTGGGAACTGGAATAGCATTTTTACCAGGAACTTTCTAACTGAAATTAGCATTAGTTTCTAAAACAGGCCTCTACCCCCAACCTTTCTAGTTTCAGAAAATAACATTGGGATTCATTCCCACTCGAATGAGGTATTGGGAGTCTTGGATACTCTTGAACTTCACTAAGAAATGTAATGCTTTTTTGCTTGACTATATACCAATTTAATGGAAATGTTGTTATTTTAAATTTCTACAGAAGTCTCACTAGCAAGAAAATTCGATGTCATGCTATTTAATTTTGTGAATCGATCTAATTAGTTAATTTATTCTTCATTCTAGATATTCTTTATCTAAGTATGGCGTGCTTACAAATAAATATTCTACAAGCTTTCTAGAAGTATTGGTACCGAAAGTTTGCTCTTTTCTTACTCCATTTTGCTGCTTTCTGGACTTCTATCTGCCAGCAAATTGTACGACCAGTCCTATATTCCTTTTCTGATCAAGATAGCAGAGTTCGTTATTATGCATGTGAAGCTCTGTATAACATTGCAAAGGTGAGAGATAAACCAATTACTTTTATAATGTGGATTTGTCCTACATGTATTTATGGCTGCACCATTTATGTCATTGGGTTTCATTCCTGCTAATTTGTAGATTGTGAGAGGAGATTTTATAGTGTTCTTCAATCAGATTTTTGATGCTCTGTGTAAGCTTTCAGCTGACTCAGATGCCAATGTACAGAGTGCTGCTCATCTTTTGGATAGACTCGTAAAGGTGGATAATTTTCATTTCTTGTCTATAGCTGTCATTTTGTCAAATTTATTTCAAAAATGTGATTAGGCATGGTGCTTTGGCAATTATTTGAATGCAGGACATTGTGACAGAGAGTGATCAGTTCAGGTCTGCTGTCTCTTTGCTCTAGTTTCAATACTATTTGTCAGATGAAGTTATTAAATTTATTTCTAGAGTTTGGAAAAAAAATTCTGTTAACTTCAACTGTTGCCGTTCTATCGTGACACAGCATTGAAGAATTTATACCGTTGTTGAGAGAACGAATGAATGTCCTAAACCCTTTTGTGCGACAATTTCTGGTAGGATGGATTACTGTTCTTGACAGTGTTCCAGATATAGATATGCTGGGCTTTCTTCCTGATTTTCTTGATGGTGAGTGGTCATATTTGAGGTTCGACAGATTCTGGCGGTGTTTCCTTTAGATGCATGCTTTCACACGCATGATGAAATTGCAGGCTTATTTAACATGCTAAGTGATTCCAGCCATGAAATAAGGCAACAAGCAGACTCAGCACTCTCAGAATTTCTTCAAGAAATAAAGAACTCTCCAGTAAGATTTACGAGTTACACCTCTATTAACTTATATGGGACTTGTTTAGTTGGTGATACTTGGGCATTATATTTTTGTCTCTGGGAAAATTGTTGCAGGCATCAGCAGTTATTATTATTATTAATTTTTGTTTTTTTTCGAGAAATTTTTTGTCGATACTTTGATGCGAAATTAAAAGTGTATTTGAGACACAATCGGAATCTAACTGATTTAGCTGTCAATTTCATTTACAATTTTTCTAAATTTATATTTTGACTCAATTTATCCTAGAATTCAATATATTAATGATTGAATGTGATTCAATTTCTCAGTCT